ATCCCCAAAATTCGAATGCTCCTCTCAACGAATTAGATTATAGAAAAAGAATCTGCCATCCGAAATTCAGAAGACATAAAGACTGCGAGACTGCAGTGATACAGATGAAAGAGCACTCAAGGTTACAAGAAAAATCGGAGAAGAAATTAAAGCCACTGGTGCTCTGCTGTGGGGTCACTTACGGGGATGAAGAAGGGCCATTGCACTTTCTTTTTAAGCTCGCCTGGTACAATTATTCCTTTTTACCCATCTTCGGTCGGGGGAGTAATAAAATTCCGTTGCTTCACGTTGAAGATTTAGCGAGGTAATTTTTGGAAAAAGTCATTATGAAATTATCCACATTGTTCTTCAAGTCGAAGAGACTGTCGTTAACTTCGCGAAAAAAATTTATTGCGCTACTTCGTAACACTTTTCAGGTAAAACATAAAAGTTTAGCTATATAAAAGGAGACAAGTTGGAAGGGTAGTAAAAAATTATTGTATTGTAAAATTGAAGCAACTTGCACCTCATGGTTTTCATTAAAAAAATGCAGATGTCTGGATGTTTTTGTCATTTGATGGTGTGAATGTATTGGTCCTTACAAATTAAAGGGTTTGGTGGCTTATTTTAAAACTGTGACAAGAAAAAATTTTTAAAATTGTAATCTAATAGAACCGCGGTACACCTCCATCAAATATCGACCCTTCCTAATAAAACCGGAATCTCAATTTTCGTTCAAAAACAAGCGTATTTCAAAATTTCTGTTACGACTGGTATCTCGAAATTCATATGAAAAATCGTTACAAATCTCACGTTTTCGTCCTCTTGACAGTTGTATAAATAATATTGTATAAATGATATTGTATGAATGCATTGAAGGCATTATACATTATACAATATACATCATATGAAGTAATAAACACATTGGGAGAGAAATTAAATACGATTATTCGATAATTCGATAAGTTCGATTAGTGAGCTCCATGAGACGTATAAATGGATGTAAGCAACAGGCTTTCTCATGAATTTTGCAGGTGGAAGCGCTCGTTTCGGCAATTAATTTTGATTCGAATCTGAATTCCCACTTTTGCCTTCCGAATGAAAGCTTGACAATCGTTTGATTAAATAGTAGACCGCAATTTTCAATCAATTGAAAATTCACCATGACTTGTTACTAACAATTCATGTTTCAATGAAAAAATTGGAAATGTTGAGAAATTTAGGTCATATTGCTGCTCGTATATGTTTAATTTCCTTAGAGAATTACAATTTTTTTCCTAGTGTACATGTCAGATCGGTTTAAGTGAGCGTGCAATGAGTAATTGCGAAACTAAAGGGGCAATAAAAAAAATTGAAGTCTCTGAGGTGCTCACGAATTTATAACCCAACACACGCTTTTTTCGCATTTTTCCAAATAACAGCTTTTTAAAAATGTCATGCCGTGATAAAAAATGCTAATAGGGATATCGTGAGGTATCGATTATCGACGGATTAAGGATTAAGGGCAGGATAAAAACTAAATCATAAAGCATTCTTGGCATATAGATTAGGCATGCAAAAGATTAAAGTTGTTCATTCATGTCTTCCACTTCCATTATGATTATCCTTTTTATTGATTCTTGGCTGTAGTTTCTTTTATTTGTATTAGAAATATAATCTAATATAAGGTGTTCCCTATACTAAAATAAATATAAATGACAGACATCAGTACATGGATAATAATATAAATCCTATGGTTTATAAATGTTTATTAAACAATTAGGCTAATTTCAGATATTTCCATATATTTTTTTTCTTGTACGACACCGTTCTGTTCCCGTCTATTTTGATCTTCTTTTCTACTTATAGAAAAGAAAGGTTTTGAACATTTTTGATTCATTACGACTTGATCAATATTGGAATAAACATTTAAGAGCAATATCATAGATATATGGAGCATTTTGTCTTAACTGGTAAAAATAGGACAATAAAAAAGCTTAGGGCTCGATTAATGGAATGCGCCTGTCACCATCAATAATTCTTCTTCTTTCTCACTAGGATCGTACACTCACTTTTTTCCAACTGGCCGGAAGATCGATGGTACCTTGTCGCGACTGAGCTCGATGTCATTTCTCAAGCGACTATCGTTGAGGTGAGAATTTTCTCTCATGTTTATACAATTGACGACACCATTCATCTGAGTCAATGCACTGAAGAAAATAGTCTACTATTCATTTGCGAGACTTGTAATTCTGCTTAGTAGTCCCTCGATGACGATTTCGCATGCATATTTGTTTATATCAATTCAGATTTCATTCATTAAGTTTTGAATGAAGCATTTTTTGAATGAATATTCTTTTTTTTTAAGTTAGGATGATATTCCATTGCGACGTATATAATACTTAGCCGGCCTTGACCGGTAAAAAACGAGGGTAGGTCAAGCCAAGTGACGAATAGTGTGTTACGTTAAACGTGTATAAAGTGGAGGGATATTGGCGGGTGAAGTGAGGTTCAGGTTGTTGTGTTATGATGCTTGTTGTATATTTTCCCTGATTGTTCTCTTCATTATTCCACCAGAACATCAGCAAGTACATGAGCAACGGCAATGTGAAGAACGTAGAGACGGTGGAGATCTCGACATTCAAAGGGAATATTACTCAGAGAGATTTAGACATCATGATGGTGGATGTAAACATCGAGCCAGCATTTATCCTAGATTATAATCTGCAGCCTGAGAGGACCTTTGATATGCAAGTTGAAAGGATAGTGGATGAGTACAGAGCAAGCAGAAACCTCCGACCCGTGAAAATAATCATCCTTGGTCCACCAGCTTCGGGAAAAACCACCATTGCTCATATCATCGCTCAGTACTACGAAATTCCGTATATCTCTGTCGAATCGTTGATTACGAAAACCATCGCCACCTTAGTTGAGTTTACTCGTGTTTATTAATGACATATAAAGAAAGGGATTTATTCGATTCTGGAAACTGAAGCGGCAAACATTATTAGTGCAACATCGTGCTGACTTACATTGTTAAAGAATTACACTTAAAATTATTCCGTAGAATTCTTGAGTGACGAATCGGTTAATTTTTTTAATGGAATTATTTTTAATAATGATAATTCTTTCATCAGGTCTGAATGACACTGGAAAATCGTAAAATGTCAAAAATTCATTAATTTCTTTGAATTGTCAATAAATTGAAAATTCGATTGTATTTGATATTCAATTTCGACTGAAAAATCAAGCTTTCATTCAACAATTGATTAGCATTGAACATAAAAAACTCATTTCTCTTGAATTTTCACGTCAAATCAGAAATTTACTCACTGTTTCTAATTGAAGTTGAATTCAAATTCATATAATTTGAAATGAAGATGACTTCGTGACGGAAATTTCAATAAATTTTCAACAGTCCAATTGTAACTAATCCTTCGCTTACTTAATATTTATCTTATTGCACAGAATTGTTTCTATCGAACAATGTTACTAAAAAAAATTAACATGTTTCAGAAAAGTGAAATAGAGGAGCAAGAATCGTTTGGCGTGAAAACTTCAGCCCAGCAGTCTAAGGACAGAGATAATGGAGGAGACGAAGAGCAACGAGTGATTGTGGCGAACCAAAGTTCCTGTTCAAAATCACTGAGTGAACTCCAGAAACAGCTCGATGAAATATGTAACAATCTTGGTCTGAATAATGGTCAAGCCACGGAGGACATCCTGAACAAGTTACAGAACTCCCTTGATCCTTTTGCCTTGCGTTAAACGTTCGTTTCAATGTAGCTTTACCGGTTTTCCTATCGAGTTTATCTATCTGTCTCCAGAACAAAGATGGGCAAGCTCAACTCTCGATGTTACTCCAGCTCCCGATCTACATTCGACAAAATTCTCCCAAGCCATAAAGTTTATGGCTGCACCCGCTTCGGGCCCATGGGGCCCGATGCGTAGGCAAGAATGGTGGGAATATTCGGCAGAAACTTGGTGGAGGGAAAAGTAAAATGGGAAAATTTTCAAATTCATTTTGAAAATGCACAAACTTCTCGCAATGAAAGAGATTATCAGCCTTCTTTAATGATTAAGGGATCTTGCCTACGTACAGGGCATCATGGGCCCGAAGGGGATGTAGTCATAAACTTTACGGCTTCGGACAATTTTATCTAATGCAAGTCGGGAGCTGGAGTAGCTTCGAGAGTAACTCAAACTTGCATTTACTTGATGAAAGTCCAAAATTGATTCAAGTGCATAATTGAGTGCGAACAGAATTTCCAAGAAATAGTTGTTAAAACAGTTTAAGCTCTAATCAAGTGCAATTGACGTAGAATATCCCGCGACTGTTCCAAAAAGCGAATATTTCCGAAGTACAATTTTGGGAAAATCTTTCTTATAAATCCATATAACGGTTATTGCTATGATCTCGGAACTTCTCTTTTCTTATATATTGATAATCACTTCATTTAATGGCTACATATATCAACGTCCAATCAACATTACAGTTTGAAGAAGTTATCAATACAAGAATGTCAGTGCAAAAATTTGCTTTTCCAACTTTTTGAATTATAATGGCTTGACATAGCACAAAAAATTCCAAACTCATATTTCCGTTATCACTTTGTTTCCATGCCAAAGCGAAATAGCGGATTTTCGAAATGAAAAATTAATTGTTATCAAGAATGAATGAAATTTGATTATGAAGAAATGGAAATTCCAAGCTCAACGTTTAAATTTCCTTGAGCGTAATTCAAGCACTATCCAACTCGTCATTCCTAGGTCTCATCTGAAATGACTCATATGCAGAACTTAATGTTGAACGTTCCTGTATTTCTGTGATGAGTGTTCACCGCATTAATTATTCACTCTCGGCATATTACGAATAATAAGACCGACACGTGCGAATTTGCTGATAAGAGCGAATCTACGCAGCTCGTGGGTTCATGTCGGTAATAAATTAATAAATTTGACAAACAAAGACCGAACGAAGGTTGATCGCAGTATTGATTTGACTCTCGAGCTTTCTTTAGTGAAAGTATAAAACTTTTGAAGTTTCCTTTAAACTTCCTAATTAGACTGGTGTTTTTTTTTTACTATTAAGGGGTGTTATTTAATGGTTTTTTGCTTTTCAAACAGGTAAAAGTTCCAAATAGAACCGCTGGAGGGGAAATTTTATTTTTCTTTCAAGACTTTAGAGTTTGTTGTTATTTCCCCGAGACGTTAGGATTTATAGAAGTTGCTTTATGCGTGTAATTAGCATAAAATTTTAATCGACGAGTTACACCAGTTTCTAATGGGCGAACGGGTTTTGTGTTGGGCAAAAGATAGGCGAATGATTTGCAAGGCAATTTATCTGACATACCCCAGTGGAAATTGTCTCAGGCCGCCCTAAACTTTGATCAGTGTTTGATCCAGTAGTGATCAGGTTGTGTCAATAAGTATATAATAATATATTTACTGCCTGCTGCAAATTATTTAAATATGTGTATAATTTTTGTTGCGGAATTTTGAATTGTACTTTACGGTTAGGTACATTGAATCTGATTGAAATGAGACTTTTTTTTTTCTTGTACGGGAAAAAGTATTGAAATAGGTCAAGCGTACGCATTACTTTGTCAAGTATAACACAGAAGTATGATACGGAAATTCCTCATGAGAGCTACGGCAGGGAAGGAACTTATCATTCGTTTGCAAATACCGAGTCTGTGATCCTGCTATATTTCGCTCATTAATGAATTACACTCAAAGGCACGGTTGGACCTGTTGAGATAATCGGATATCTATTGTGTTCACATTAAATTTCGAGAAATTCTCCATGAAACTTTATCATTGTATACGTCTTTGACACTCAAATTTTATAATATTAGACGGAAAAAAGAATACATGAAAAATTAAGTGATTGTTGCGTACATTTAGGGCAAAGTGTCGTTTTGTAAGGAAATACTGAACCAATCTGAATTTTCAGTTCAGTTCGACGTAATTTTTACTTGACCTTATAGAAAGATTAGGTAATCGTAACGTAAAAATTCAAGTGCGGTTCCAGAATTTTTATGAAATGAATTTTCAGCAATTGCTATGTAACTTTTCGAGATCTTGTTTCTCCGTGTCGAATGTAATTTCGGTGAATGTACGATTCAGTAGAATCACATGATTTTCTGAGCTACTTTTAACCTTGTAAGAACTTAACTTTACATCTATATAACATTTCATAACCGATAAACAACAAGCAAGGTCACTCATGGACTGAATATATATACGGTTTTCTGTATGCGTACGAATTACGTCGTTCTACTATGACTCTTTTGCAGGTGAGGAAATCCAAGCTTGAACGACGGGCTCACGCTTGGATCAGCCTCAGATACCAAGCTTTGGAATTCCGAGCTTGAACCAATCTTGATTCTACGGAATTACCATGATTCAACCAAGCTTGGTGATATAATGCAAATATGAGCTTGTATATCAAGCTAGTTGCGATCATAGTCCAGGTTTGGTATTCCGAGGTTGGACCACGCAGCTTCAACCAAGCTTGTTTCAATATATGATAACTAAGTAATTCCAAGCCTTCGAGTTCCTAGCTTGAACCAGCCGTGATGTTATGGAAAACTTGGTAAAAATCCGCAAATCGACGTTTAGATGCCTAGGATATTCCAATCATATTCGAAGTTTGGATCAAGTCTGGAGTAAAGGAATTAAATACTAAAAAATAATAATAGTAATAGTCATGATAATAATCAAATAGCTGCAGATAAAATAAATCACTGCGTATGTTCGTGATAACGATTAGGAGTCGTAGAGGAAGAGAGAGGGAGGGGGAAAGAAAGTACCTGATATCAATGGATAATGTAAATTCAGTACATAGTTAGTGATCTTAGTTACATCAAATGAACAGAACGTTATTCAACAACTTTATTTCTATAAGGTTGATATAGAGTTCCTATGCACAATTAAAAAACACAAGTCATAAGTGCGCGTTAGCTTAGCGGTAAGCCTAGGTAAGGTAGGTTTCGTAATGTTAATTAAGTTAAGTTAATTAGTTAGGTTTTTTCAACGATAAATTCAGCGGGGATAGGTACATGAGGTTAAAATCAACTTGTATCAGTAAGAAGAAAGTCATTTATTGTATTTTCAACTTTATTTTGATCAATAATTTCTCGATAAATGGAAGGATTGGTTAACAATTGTATCCCAGGCTTGGATTACGCGCGACGTTCAAGCTTGGATCAAGATTGGTCCTAACTCGGCCCATGCCTGAATTAGCTTAGTTTTAGCTTGGTATCCAAGCTTGGATCGAGTTTGACATCCAATCTTGGATCAACCTGGAACAGCGTTACAAACCGGGGTTTTGTACAAGCTAGGAATCCAAGCTTGAACCTAGCTAAGCTAGTCTTGGTCCAACCTTCGGCCAAGCGTGAACCGATTGTCAATTCCCACCTGGGTTGCCTCCTAATTTAAGCTGTGCAATCGTTATGCAATTTGAAATTTCGGCTGTCGATTGGGACTTTTATTATACAAATTGTGAGTCGAAAGCAAACTTTTTTTACTTCTAATAAATTTTATGGATTCAATATACCATGACTGATCCGGAAGTGACATGGTAAGTGGATCGAATCTTGATCAGGCACACGGAGAGGAACTCTTAATGAAAATTATCCTTACGGTAGGAGAAAAATGTATTATTGTATGTATGATTCGTTTACTACTTCTGTCTTTAATAAAATACATGCAAGAAATGGCAGAAAAGAGACCCCCCCCCCCCCCAGAAGCTCTCCCATACGAGGTTCGTACTACGCAATTAAACCAACGGGCGGGAAACTTGAATTTTTATTTCTCTATTCAGACTAAATTATTTAGCCGACGAATGGAAATTTCACTTGCGCTATTTGAAAGGAAAGCCTTTCTTGATAAACCAGACGATTGAATCTGTGCACGAGATAATATTGTTATGTGCACCTTGTGTTAACGATAAAAGATATAAAAAATAGATTGAAAAAAATTTAACACTTTACTGCAGAGACTTGGTGTACGAAGTGCGCACTATGTCGCGTAGCTATAATAGTACAAAGTATTTTATAGACTAAAGCAATGCCACTTCCTCCTTCCCTCGAGAAAGTATTGAATTGAATCTAGTGAAAACAAGCCTTAAAAATCTGGAAACCTCTAGAATTTTTTTTTTTTTCAATTTGAGTGCGAATCTAGTAAACATTTGTTAAAATTTCTTTTCGTAAAGCTACGCTACGTATAGCTAAGCTACGCTGAGACAACACCGTTGCAATTTATAAACAGTTACGGCAATGGGGAGAAGAGAATTAGGTGTGTAGACTGAAGAAATTGATTGAGGTTGAAAATATATTGATTGATTAAAACGTATGGTGTGATATGAGCGAAAAAAATGCACAACATGACAAGTACAATTGCACACGGAGACAACCAAACCCACCCTATTACTGCTGTAGGGCACAATTCATTTCTTAACGATAAAATATAACATGACCTAAGAATAATTACCATGTTGCGTAGTGACAATGACCGTAAAACAGTAATGATTACCATGTGACGCGGTAGGTTTTCAATATTATCTTGCAATTATTACGTTCTATACTATAAATTATGTAATGGTGGTGTTTACCCAGTGTTGTATAAAGGATGATTATTTAGAGTTCATTGAAAACTGTTTTTGTATGCTGCCGTAGCATTCTCTCCGACCTGCCGGGGATTTGTACCATTTAATTCCCTCTCTGTACGGTGTTCAAAAGATAACACCAAAATATTAGCTCTAACGTCCAGAGTTTGGACGACAATGTTTCAGAAGAGCTGTAAAAATAGATAAAAATCTAAGAGAAACTGTAGATAGTGCATTTAATTTTTAATGCTTTTGTGAAACATCATTAATTTTTTGAAATTTGCATAGTTATTCTGATTCGAAATGAAATTCAAGATTGAATTCAAAAGTTGCGATTAGTCTCCTGATATTGTCTCTCCTTATCACAACAAACCACGGAAAATCAACTTGTTCCCCCAAGTTATCCGTCAGAAAAATCCGTTACGGAAAGAAGGGCAGACGATAGCAATATATAAATAAAAAATTCCCAACTATTCTCCACTACGAATTATAATTCAATTCTCCATCACATTATTCAGTCCCAAAATCCGCCAATAAATCTTTTGGAGTGTGCCACACCTAATTAAATCAAACTAATCAGTCACAATGTGTCATAATAAATCCATTACTTTTATCTGTCAGATTACTGAGGGCGAAACTTCAATCACCGGAGTGCATCAATCAGGGGTACGTGCTGGATGGTTATCCAAAAACCTGGAATCAGGCACGGAAATTGTTCAATAACAAACTTATTCTCAACTCAAACTCCACATCCTCACCCCAAATTTCGGAAATGTTCCCCGAGTTTGTGATGCAACTCGTGGCAACCGATGAATTTCTCCACAATCGTGTACTAAATTTACCCGAGAGTGAGATACAGCGTACCCATTATAATGTAGACAGCATGGTGAAGCGCCTCCGGGAATACAGGTCTGTGAATTATTATTATTAGCTGGACACTGGTGTGTATTTTCCACGAGGTATACAGCTTTACCTTCGGTCTGATGCTTTATTATCTGCTCCGTTGTATGGAAGATGGTCCGATATTGCGCGTATCTATTGTCGACATAGTAGCTTTTTTTCATCCACGTTCCCTCATTTTTCTTTTCATCGGTAACTTACGAGTTCGTGGTTTGGTTTTACAGGGAGACAAACACTGGAAATGATACGACATTGGGATTCTTCATCCGGAATGGAATACATCCGCTTAATGTGGATGTCGAGAGGGAGTTTATGGGTATTCTCACGATTTTTCAAAAGTGCCTCGAGACAATCGGACCACCGAGAAACTACGGTCATTACTCTCCTTCCAATATTTGTTTTTTTCTCATTTGCCTTTGTTTTCCTGCGTTAACAATAGCAAAAGTAGTGGTGAGCTCAGAGCAATGTGCATCAGCAATGAGCTTTGCCGTATTCTTCCAATGCTCCTTAAATCTTTCCTCACAAGCAAATATCATAATTATGAATTACGGGATTGCTAATATTTTAACTCATTCGACAAGATTTTTTTGATACAAACGACATCTTGGTGTCATTTGGTTTACGTCATTTGGTTTACTATCAGGAAGCATTGAGTAGGTGTCCACTCCCAATTTTTATGAAATTTAAATAGAGTTTGAAGGACTCAAAATTAAGCGCTCTGTATTCGTTTTAATGGGCCTATATGTGGGTTCAGGAGACGACACTCCCCTTTGAAGTTGACCATCTTCCGGGCTATTCGCTTGAGTAGGGAAATTATAATGGCACATGTACCCCTTCGTTTTCGTGTTAGAGAACATTTTATCCCGCACATTATGTAACAGAATAATGAGAGTGATTTTCAATTGGGCGCAGAACTTGGAGCCGAGGAACGCGCGGCAGAGGTTGTGATCCGTGATGTTCTGCGTACATTGGAGATCTCATTTGTTGGGAGTGAAGAGGAGGAGATGCTTCGTCAAAGGAACATGACCCGAGATAAACTTATGAAAGAACGGGTGAAGTATTAGTCTCAACCCACGTGGAAGCACTCATTGTCATAGTTCTATTTTCGATTATTTTTCGCATCACCTTTTATTGAGAGACTTGAAAGCATAATTTAAGCTTTTGGAATCGTAATGTACGATTTTCAAAAATCATAATTTACAAGGTCAATTGCGTAATTTATGGGACAAATAACGAAAATGACGAAATTGATTTCCTAAATTATGAGGAAAAGGCGACAAATTACGGGACTTTCCCGTAATTTACGATATCAAAATCGTATGTTCAAATAGATTGAGACCGTAAATGACGATATAGAAGAAAAACTACATGATTCTTTACGTACCTTACGCATTAAAAATCATAAAATAAAAAAAAACGAATTGAATTTTCTGAATGAAAAGTATTTGGTCACGTGCCTTCGTTTTTTGGTAATACTTCGAAATGTGACAGAAGGTAATCTTTGCTCATGGCCTTCTTTGTAAATCTCAGTACGCTCTAGAAAACCCGTTTTTACAAATATTGTGATATTTCCAATCGTAATTTACCCTTTTGAAATTATCATTTACGATCTCAATTGCGCTACTTAAAGGGTTATTTTTCTCATAAATTACGGAATTTACATCATAAACTAGGATTTTGGGAATCATAAATTATAATTTTAAAAAGGTAAATTCTCTTTTCGAATCTCGTGTCTCACGTAAACATTTTTCTGTATGTATTCATTGTCATCACTTTACCTCTATTTTTGATAGGTTATTCGATAGATGTGTTAGTAAAACCGTCAGCATCCCAAAAATGGCTTCACCACACTCTTTCAACACCTAAAAGAGATTGGAACTGAGATTTTTTCAAATTTGTTGTGAATTTAATTCCATGGGAATTGAACGCAATTTTAGAGGAGGAGGTTTTCTCCACAGCTACCGGTTATGTCATTAATTTACATGCTTTTATCATGTGAGGAAATTTCTGTTGGTCTCTGATCAAGTTCCAATTACGTTACATCTGACCGCACATCTGATTTTGATCAGATTGATAGATTAGGACGTGATCAAAGATGTAACACCTCTCATCAATCGTGATTTCATCGGGATTGATTGGAATTAATAGAAATTTGATGAAGCCAAGCCCATTATACAAAAAAATATCCGATTTTGATTTTTTTTTCCATTCAGTTCAGGATAATTTCTTTATTTCTACTCGGATAGGGATCATTTATAGATCAATTTAAAGTCCGTTGAGTGTACTTCAACACGAATTGTAATATTTAGTTTGATCATGTAGCTTGGGAATGATTTGTCGTTTGAAATTAAATTTCATAGTTTCTCAATTCTGGGGGTTCTTCTGTTTGATTGGTGGTAATCAACTGATTTTTCCCTAAATTGTAATGAGTTATATGATTTGTCGTTTGAAATTAAATTTCATAGTTTCTCAATTCTGGGGGTTCTTCTGTTTGATTGTTGGTAATCAACTGATTTTTCCCTAAATTGTTATTAAATTTTGCCATCTTTAAGCCCCTGGAGCATAGAAGGAGGATGTAATATTTATTGATAATGTTGAGGATCTGTCCCTTGGGCGTCAAACTTTGGGCATACCATTGAAATATCTGGAGTGGCGGGTCACTTTTGGAACTGGGCACTGCGAATTCGATCAGGAGTTAGAAGTTCGGGTTGATGTAGCCTGAGTCATGAGTTATATGAGTTGGCTCGTTGTTTGATAGTACGTTGAGTCATGAATTCAGGGTAGAAATGATCGGAGATGTGTTGTGAGAGATTGTATTGGCTTATTCGGGGATTTGTGGGAATATAATGACAGGGGGGCGTCTTTTCTGAAAAGTATTGTTAGGATTGTTGCTAGGTGGTAGTATCTTTGGAGAACGACATTGGTGAGGCCAGGACAGAAATGAAGGGAACTGAGATTAACATATGCGCCTGTTTGGGGGTGCACTCTGAGTCTGAATCTAGGTTGTCTTCAGGAATAATGTTATAATGATTCATGTTTTTTTGCCTCATGGTTACTTTTTCAATTTCCATACTTACCTGAGATTGGTCGTTAGGCAGTTTGATGGGGTTTGAGGGGAAAGAGGGTAGGACGATATGTTTTAGGAAGGAAGAATCGAGCTTCGCTTCAGTTTTTCCACTGTCATCTCAGAATCGGGTTCAAGATTGTTGTTGGAGCAGTACTGGATGTATTCATCCCAGAGAGCTATGTCTGCAAGGTCTTTCTCCGGAGAGAGACTTGATAGGGGTGATGATGGTGAATGGCCGCTGAGAAAACGGTCATTGTAGAGGTGATTAGGGAAGCAGGACAAAGAAGACCTGAGAGAAGGTTATCAGATTTCGTGTGGTTCGTTCATGCTGGTAAATGATTAGAGGATGGTGGTGATTGTGATCATGTAAGAGACTGGTAAAGCCAGTGTAGAAAGCAGGAGCAGCAGCAGTAGTCCGACCGGTAGCGTGTTCAGAATATGGTGCATTGGTTTTGAAGTTTTCTCTATTCACTTGGTACGAAGAAGTTGTTTTCGCTCTACAGGCCTCTAGATGAGACTGGATGTTAGTCACTGAGGCCAAAAGAATATTAGTCACAGAAGAAAGAAAGCACTGCTCTTTCTTCTTATGAAATTATTGTTTATAATTATGTGAACTGTCGTGTGACTTTTCGAAATCGTCCGCATTGATTCACTTTTGGAACCATCGTTTCATACTATTTATTTCTACGAATTTAACTCAATAATTGGTGATTTCTTCACCCTGACATTCGATTCAGTGTTACTGCCTTGCCGATTAGTAGTCAACTGTCCATGAAATTGTCTTTTTTATCTAACAATGTGCATTATAAATAAAGCGAATTTCCTACAAAATTAACAATTCAATACAACGTGAAAGACTGTCGCATCAATTTGAATCCTCATACCCAAAGCAAAAGAAACTCAAAATCTCAAAATCTACAGAACTCATCCATAATCAGTGGAAAACATGGACAGTTCATTTGGCGAACACACGGTCTTTTGCTCTCTCGCTACCATTTAAATCTATCCGAATCATATTCGTCTAACTTGTTTTGATCCCGCCTATAATACAACTTGCGAAAATTGAAGTGCACATTAATCAGTCATGCAACGACATCCACCTTGAACAGCCATTCACAACATGACGCAGCTGATATTGAATATTTCTTCACATCGGATATGTTTTTGTTGCTATAAAAGACTTAAATGAATCTATGTCTCAAGAGAAATACTTGACTGCTGAATAGTGATATACAGATTGATTAAAAAGATGCTCAGAAATCGAGATTCAAAACACTCCATGACAATCGAATTGGAGTTCAATGAGTACAGGATGACACTAATGGGTGAGGATTGGTTAAGTAGAGTAGAGTGGAGTTTCCCGGAGACTAGGTGCAGATTCTAAGTTGAAAGAGGTGAAGTTTCTCTGTGGATGATGCTCTTAGACATCGGGGATTCGGGTAGATAGGGATTGATGGTTACAAGTTTAGACTGTGAAAACCGGGAAGACTTGATGGAAGTTTAAAGGGGAATTCTGGGAGAGAACTTCTAGTTACGAAAGAGCTGCTACTCACTTACTAAATAACGACTTCTAGCTTAGCAATGGTCCGACGGATATCAACTGTGATGTGTTTCGATTACTTTAATTCTTTTAATCAGGACCGTTCTCGTAAATCTTATCATCTGTTTGGCCAACTCTTAAATTTGCATGACGATATTTCATAATAAATTCCATCTCCACAGTGATATTTATTAAACTTTGATAATATTTACTACACGGAGAGACGTATCGGAGAGTAGTGGAACAATTTGGAACAATTTGCAGAATCTGAAACAAGGAATCATTTTCCAGCAATTGATTTATAGGAATACAAAATAAACAAACGGACAACATAAATTGGTAGCGAAGCGGTAGCCTTAATTGTCGTTGCTCTATTATGAATATGTGAATTACTGAATTAATTTCATTAGATTTTGGGACAGTTCTTCATACATACAGTTCCTCATATTGGTACACTTAGCTCCTTTTTCAAATGATTATTTTTTCGTTTATTTCGACATAGCTCAACATAATTGGGACATTACTTGGCCTGGTGCGCTAGGTTTCGAACGTGTTCGCGGCTGTGAAATTTGGATCGGCCTAACATCAGCTCGAGTAATGCCTAACATCAGCATCAGTAATGTTCGTAACGCGTTCATGTTGTCGGAATCAACTTGCTGAGAAGCAAGCTAAAAAAATCAATGCACCGAAAAGACTGAGTCAAACAGCAAGCAAGGCCAGAGGTGGCTTAAGGTGGTTGTCGCGCGACAGTCTCTGTAAAAAGTTTATCCGCTGTGCAACGGGCCAGTTTAGAACACAATCTTTTAACGGTATATAGTCTCACTTGATTGATTGCATTGTGCATGAATAGCTAAAGCATAACTATATATTTTCCATATTAACTATTTTCAATTATATAAATTTATAAATTTCCGATAATTATATTCCGTAAACCAAACGGTCAATCGATTTGATTTTTTTTTCTGTATTTCCTCCCACGATGTATATTCCACGTTTTTTTTTTATTTCTGAAACTGTCGAGCCGTTGATATTTAAAAAATTCTAATCGGCAAAACTCCATTTAAACACGTGTTAAATCACTTGAATTTCAAAAATTTATATCTCAAGTTCAAAACGGTCAATTGCAAACGGAAAAAGCTCATTTTGTTGCTAATTTTTCAAACTATTCACCATAAAATTGTTAACGAAAACTGTCGAAAAAAAATTCTACGCGACAACAACCTTAAGAGGAGGCCAGTTATGTCCCAGAAGCATGAGAAAGAAATCTCCCTGAGCAATAGAATATAAAAATATCCTAATAAATTTTTAAGGTTGCTTTTGTTTTTTTTGTGTTCTTCTCATTTTTTTCTGGTCTCTTCCTAATGGCACCATACTTATGCTCACATACTTTAATTAGTTAATTAATGATTACAATTAATCTTTATAAATTATTCAATTTCAACGAATTTTGACGATAATATATAGCAATTCATTCATGCCAAATTGCCAATTGCCAAATGATAAATGATTCAATATTCAAATTTGAATGCCATTCATTTGGGCTATCGCAAACTTCAGTGGATGAATCACTGACATTACAGCAAAACGAATATATTTTCTCTTCATTAAATCTCGTTAAAAAATCATTTGGATATGAATTCAGTGAAGGAAAATTAACTGAACATATTTCCTAGTTTTTTCCGTAGATGTTTAGAATTGTGAAAATATACGATCGTTTTATCCACATTTATCTGGTTGATCTTTAAGATAAAAATCAATCATTGAGGAATAATCGAGTATTGAATGAGAATCGATTAATTGAAGTCGAAAACAAATGAAAAACTTCTTGCTCCTTTAACATAAGGGGGTAGCACTCCAGAAAAAGCTTTTCCAGATTATTATTTTTTATCTTTAATTCAACAACAGATTGATTTTTAATGAACTGAATCGTTTTGTCCCAATCGAATTTTAAACATTTTTTGGAACGTAATTTACCGCTTCCAGTAATGAATTACACAAAAATTGTAAAGAAGAAAATAGTCAGTTTTTAGGTGAAGGATTGAATCTATATAGTAATTTTTTAATTAATCATCGTTACGACACTTTTAGGGCTAAAAAACAGCAATTTTGGTCACGAAGACGTGATTATTAGGGGAAAAAATATTTTTTATTTCCATCAAATTTTTACCTCTCACTATTTCGATAGGGAATCGTATTATTTCTAACTATTCATGTCATGAGAACTCATAGGTGCTCCTACACTTGAATAAAAGTTATGATATGTAGATTATGTGATTCCTGATAATATCCTGGTGCTACGGAAAGCCTTATATATTCTCACGATGTAAATAGTTATAAGTAATATGATTGCTTATCCAAAATACATATATAAGAATTGTTCCTCGAAAAATCGTAAATTTCAAACATTTTTTTTTATTCATTAATAAATCCCCTGGGGAAGTCCGATGATGTGGTTGGCGCAGAAATCAGCGCAAAATCAAGGATTTTAAGCAATAAAAATTCCTTGGAAATTCAAAGTGGTTTTTTTTCTAATAATCAGGTTTTTGGGGCGAAAATAATCGTTTTGTGGCCCTAAAAGTGTCGTAATGATGATTAATTAAAAAATTGCTATATTTTTCAAATCTTCACCTAACGACTGACTATTTTCATCTTCATAATTTTTTGTGTAACTCATTACAGCGAGGCGTAAATAACATCGGCAAAAAATGTTTAAAATTCGATTAGGAGTGTTGTATTGACGTGGTGAATGGATGAATCTGCAAACAAATAAAAAACCATGAGGGTTGAACTCTCAAACGAGTTGACATGGAATGCTCAATGCTTCATATATTTTTACCGTAATTGAATTCTTCACCTCTCACAAGATAAAAACTTATGCATATTTTCTAACTTTCTCATTCACAGAAAAATAACATGGATAACCAACTCAAAGAGGAAGAATATATATTGAGAGGTCTCGCGGAGCCACTGCGACTCTACTTATTCAAGCACGTATTTCCCACATTGAGTCAAGGTCTTTTCTCCCTCGTGCAGTCGAAGCCTCAGAATCCCCTGGACGCTCTCGTAAGTACCCGTAATATGCTCCCGCCAACAATTTCTACAATAACGTAGTTTAAGAAGAAAAAAAAATCCTGCATCTCTATAAGCGTCCTTTTTATTACTGTCAATAAATCGATGTTTCATCGGGTAACAATTTTATTATGAAAGTTTCATTGGCACAAACTTTATATGTTTCAACAACGATTCGATGCTCTGCATTTTATATTAAAGGAATTCTCTAATTTTCCATAAGATCAATTGTAAACCGAGATTGAAATTGTCTAAAGTAGAAAAGTATCAATTACGTCGGATCTCTTTCCTCTGTACCTTTTTGCGCTGCCCCCGGAGGCAATGAGGAATGAGTGATATTTAATTTCGACAGATTGAGTTAACATGGAACAATGGAGCTGGTGACAAAGGATTGATGGCGGTGACATTGTACAGACTAAATGTCCGCTCGACTTGGTTGCATCATCGCAATCAATAATTGAATTCTCTCTCTTTTTTTCAACACATATTGTCATTTAGTTTGACAGACTTATTCACGTGGAAAAATTTTGATACGTTTTTATCCTCTTGATTTTTCTCTTTTTTTTAAGTAAAATTGAAAAAAGGTGATATCCGTCAACACCGATTTTGAAAGAAACTGGTCGATTTATTTGGGGAGAGCAAATCAACGAAATAGTCATCATGGTATTGATATTTTATAAGGATCTAGTTTTTTTACTTCTTAAATATGAGTTATAATTTTTTTTAATGGCGCCGTCGAAAGTGTGGAGGGGAAAGACTGAAAAAATCCTATGTCTCCGTTTTTTATTTCTTCTCTCTCCGAGTGGCATTGAGCCATTCGATATCAACTTGAAATATATTCAGGTGAAAATCGATAGAGTAGGATTGAGTATTGCGGGCTGTCCACTCATTCCTTTATGCTTGCGGACTGTCTTCATTTTCAAGTGTACACTGCACAGAGAAAAGCGGTTCGTGATTTATTATTTTGATACATAAACACTACCTGTGTCTCCTGCCCCTTCGAGTATTACCGCGATGATTCCACCGAGATTTGAATATTTCGGATGGTTAACGAATAAGTCCATAACTAGAAGTTAATGAGACTTTTAAAGTTCTATTTCCTACATCAGAGGTGGACAACCTCAGCTCTCGGAGTTACTCCAGCTCCCGACCTGCGTTAGGCAAAATTGTCGAAAGCCATAAATTTTGTGGCTGCACCCCTTTAGGACCCACGATGCCCTGCGCGTAGGCAAGAGTGGGGATACTCACTGCTCAAATGCCAACCTATGGCATCAGCGTTGTGTGTTGTCCTACTGGAGAAAATCATTTCTGCGTTCTTCCCTCGGCAGGCCGATTTTCGGCGAACTGCCCGAGAAGGGGAGCTGTAGATTATTCCACCGGTTACCGAGGAGAAAGTGATGAAAACGTGTAGCAGAGTTGGGAACTCGAAGACCTCTGGCTTCGGTAAAGTCCCGAATGTTGCACTGTGAACATAACGCTGCAACTCGGTGCCGTCAAGCTCACTTCGCAGCCGTACATACGATATCTGGGAGTGATGATCGATACCCGATTCAATTTTAAGCAGTAAGTGGAGCACTCCACTAGTAGGGCCACCGGAGTTCGAGCAGTCCTCGCGCCACATGCCTAACGTGGAAGGACCCAAGCAGAAGAGAAGAGCACCGGTCATGTCGTAAAACAGCAAATTAAGTACTTTAGTAGCGATTACGGTACTTAATTTGCTAGTATAATACCACTGGTGGCCGATCATTTCTCCATTCGGATTTTTGCCCATTCGAGTACACGTACAAAATCATGCAAAGAAACGGAAAACTCTGAAAACTCTGAAAAACTTGGCTATGAAAATTAAATAATTAAAAAAATATTTTATAAACAACGAAAGAAATTTATTTTTCAGGGGAATTTCTCCAATGCGAATTATTTTTGAATCACGTTTGAAATAACCCACTTTTATGCTTAGCTGTCTCACAGACCTTTCAATGCAGAATTCGATCAAAGATGAGAAATAGTTGGAAAGCTACTGCTGAATTTCCATCGGAAATTTTTTAGAAGTTCCCAGAATGGAACTATTTGGCAGCCTCGAATGGGGGCTCTGAGTGTGCGAAAATCCACGTTTAAAAGAAATCATACTTATGTCGAAATTATCTTACATTATTAAAATGCGTTTGATTTACATAAGTATGAATCCAGTAAACCCCGAATACGAATGCGACCATGGATATAAGCCCAGGAAATACTTCTATTTTAGAAATAGTATATTGTGCACCAAGCAGGGCATTGTAACTTGCATGTGTATTACCGAGCCGAAGTGAAGTCAAGGGTCGTAAACACGAGGGTTTGAATGTCCTCTTTCCCTTTTCGGGTGCACATTGTTCTTTTCGTCATCGCTACACACAAAAGTTGGATTTTTCTTCGGCAATAACGGGATAAATGTGGGTTATATCATTCTGAAGATCCTAAAAAACAACAGAAATTTGAGGAATGGAATAGGCCACTTTCTTCGCAGTTTTTAGGAAAATAAAACATCGGACTTTCTCTGTTAGTATGACGCAATAATATATTGTGCCTCTAGGGAGTAAAGTATTTTCTGACGAAATGTGAATCACATGAGTCAGAAAATACTTTATTTCCGTGAGGCACACAATATTTTATTCTGGTAGGGACTGGAAACTGCGATCTAACCGAACGAAACGGGGTTAGAATCGTACTTTCCAGACTCTAGGGGAATAAAGTATATAATATCCAACAATACATCGAGAGAAAAATACTCGAAGAATTACGGACCTTTCATGTATTCGTGGGGTGACCTTGTTTTTCGGGGAAAATACTGTAAGTTCCGTAAAAATTTTCGTAGCGAGGAGGAATTTTTGCGAAACTTTGAGGACAATTTTACGGTACCTCCAGTACTTTTTCCCGAAAGCAAGGTCACCCCACGAATATGTGAAAGTTCCGTAATTTTTTGAGTATTTTTCTCTCCATGTACGCATCGCGAAATTTGATTATATTAGATCCAGAGAATCCTTCAATTTACATAAGTAATGACAGATTGATGGTATTAAAAATCATCACTAATTATGGCAATTTGTGGGTCCTGATTTACTTTTAATTTCAGATAATTAGTCATCTGAAATAGTACTCTGGCTAGCAAATTCACATTCGCACACCTCTAACTCGTTAATCGGGACCTGTTATTTCAGAGTCAGGAACAGTTGTGCCAGAATATTCCCTGTCATGAACTCGTAAAACGTGGAAATTATCTCTCGAAACAGTTTCGATAAAGCGTACCCCATTGACGATACAATTCAATAGAAACAGTATCATAAAATCAAAGGGAGGACGGGTTTCGGATGAGAGGGGTCAAGAGAGGAAGGTGGTGTTCCGATTGGCTAGAGTACTGTACCCCCGGTGCCATTTACGTTGAATGTCTGTGCAATGCCGCAGAATAGTCGGCAGTCCCAAATTTAACGTCAACATTTCGAGTTTTTTATGGGGGCGACAGCGGATTAAGGAGTGGACAGTAATTGCCACTGACAATACAAATTTTCAAATAGCTATCAAACTCGGGATATCAATTGCAACAGATAATTCCACACGGATCGAAAAATCCAATAAAAGTTATGAGAAAGGAATGTAAAATTATGTTTCTGATTGTAAAGGCGAGCGGAGCGAAGTTTTATAAAAAGTGTGAGTTGGAAGAGAAATTATAACAGCCGTCGAATCTGTTCGGTAAAAATGACCCACCAATCTGATAATTTACCGCTGTGTTGACAATTAGTCGTTCCGCCATTTCGCCTCAGCAATTGAGGAATTTTACGAAACACACCATAAGTATAAGTAACACACCAGCCTCGTCAAAATTGTTGAACGTTCATGAATTTGTTATTTTCGAGGTGTGATAAGCCGAGAATTTTTCATGGAATTTTACTTTTTTTAGTTCGAGTCCAATCACGTGAAAATTTGGTACTTCTTTCGGTTATCAACTTGAGAAATCGATAACGCTGCAAATGAAGTAAGGAATAAGTGCAAATCCACTGAGGAAAAAAAAACGGTTCGATCAAGCGTCTATATTCCTGACTGAAGTTTGGACCATTCTTGGATGAATTTTTTAACTCTTAAGAGTCAGATTTGGAATAATCGTGGAAAAATCAAGAGAAATTCTCAATGTAAGGATGCGCTTACGATTAATGAGTTTTTTGGGGATGAGAGTATGTAATAAAAGAACCGTTTTTCCACCATTCATGAAAACCAAACATATTGACACAATTGGAGAATAAATTCATTCCTTAACAGAAAATTTGGTGAATGTATGGTTTCGGTTCACCAAAAAATAAAAATCCCTGATGTCTCTGAAATTCCTTACGCCCGCCTTCCCTCTGCTGTCGCTGTTGACGCGTGGAGTGAGTGATATAAAATTCAATATTTTGAATAGCGACAGAAGGGTAGCGGCGGATAAGTCACTCGTGGTATTCGTTCAGCGATGGTAGATGGTCTCAGTATCATTAGGAAGCTCTTTTGAAGCTCTTAAAAATGTTATATGAGTTATCCCCATTGAAACACTCCGATATAGTGTAAATTTCAATTTAAGACTAATTTTTAAAAGTAACGCAAGACAAAATTTTACCTGTGACGATGAATTATTGACGAACTATGTAATACTACTCAATATTGAATGAAGCACTTCAAAGTATGCTCCAGGGGCTTCAAAAGGGCATGTAACTCATTCCAATTTAGGAGAAAATCAGTTAATTGCGACCAATCAAACAGAAGAACTCCCAGAATTGAGAAACTATCAAATTTAACTTCACACGACAAATCGTCCCCAAGCCCTACGATCAAATCGCATATTGAGTATATCATGTTGAAGTACATTTAGCAGGATTTGAATCAATTTATAAATTATCCCTATCCGAGTAGGAATAAAGAAATTATCGTCAATTGAATGAAACAAAAAAGTCAAAATCGGACACCATTTTTTTATAATGGAAAAGTATAGTTAAAAATTTTAATAAAAAAAAAACGTCATTCGGTTAATCTTTCAAGAAGTTATGAATTAAAAAGACAAATTTTTAGAATCATATTTTCATAACGGCTAGTGTAAAAAATTTGAAAAATGTAGCGAAGCTACCTTTACATTTACATCTACTTTGATATCGGTTTATTTTGTACCAGGTCAACACATTGTTTCGGGCGAAATGCGTCACATCAGAACGAAGTTCTGTTTGCTACGTCGTAATAAACAATACGTGAACAGACTATCATTAAAGGTGGCCTTCATTTTTGGGTTAACAATGGCAACTTCCCTTCTTGCATTCATTCGCTTAGTTTTACGTCATTCTTACAAGAAAACTGCACAAGACGATCCACTATATATAATCTTTATCGTTTTCCAGGCAACGTATTTATTTCGCTATAATCCTGAGGGTAAAATGTATGAAATTCTGTCTCAATTGTCAACGAACATCACTGGGGACTCATGTACTGACGTCTCTGAGGATTTTTCTGAGGAAGAATTAAATGACATGGCGTTTGGCGAACTGACACCTAAATGATACATAATGTACAATCGGAAAGCATGAATTACTATAAATTTTCACATTGTCTATCAGATTTTTATGAAATTAGAAAAATTAGAAGTCTTACCTGTTATGTTTTGGAGATCGGGAATTAAATCTAGAACTGATATATTTTACTCTAGTTTGATCACCTCACGATAATATTCCAGATTATCAAACTCGCGAAATTAGCTTTTTAATGGTTACTGCTTCATCTCGCTATATCGCTCCATACGGAAACTATGATGTTTTAATCGTCAAAATAGATGTAAAATTGATGTTACGTTACGCTTGCAGTTTTTATTTGGAGAGTTTTGTCAGCATCTCAAGTAATGGTACGTAATGAGTATGTAATATTATTCGAAAGATAGGGCAATGAACTTTTATATGATATAACATTTATTCCTCTGTTTGTACGATGATTGCAAGTTATGGATGATGATGAGTGATTCGTCAAATTTCGCATGGATGAAAAATTTAGTATCAAATTTAAATAATATGGAAAATATTAATAATTTTGCTAAGCTGGAAAATTTGGAAAATTTTGTTGAAACTATGGAAAATGATAAAAATTCTCAAAATTTAAGACATGTAATCGTTTCCGATGATTTTGATTATTTTGGTGAAATCTGTGAGATTCCATTTTTGACGATAATGCCCTAAACAACAATATTGGCAATACCCTACAACAAGGTTTCTCCACGGATTAGAGAACTAGAGATCGACCTTAAAAACTTATATTGTGCTCTATATTTTCACTTGCGGTAATATGAACTATTAAGTTTGTTTAAAAATATGCATTACGTTTTTGAAAAATTTTTTGAATACCAATGATTTGGGGTAACTTTTGTACGCTTGTATAGTCGTCGTGAGACCAGAACACACCGACAACTGCTGTACTTATATCTGCTCTACTCTACTCTACACTATTGCAGTCGACTTGACATTCGTTGAAATGGAGTGTTTTGATTTTTTCTCAATGAACTGACTGTAGTTGACGTGGTTTTGTAAAACAATTGTTCACATAAGAGATTTTTGTTTAAACCGATATATACACACTCATAGTTATATAATTTACATAATGATCCTCAATTCAAGTTATTGAAATCATTTTGGTAGTTAATATGGAACTGATACTGGAAGATTGGGAACTATTTCGTGAATTCTCATTCCATGAAAAATGACGGAAAAGGAAATGTTAGATAAAAAAATGACAGAGAATTATCACATAATATAAACAGATACACACACTATTTCATATATGTATAGAGCATGAAAATTGAAAACATAAATACCAAAAAATTTGATAGTTATCAATATATTTCATTTTATTGAGGGTTGCATGGATTTATTGGATAAGTAAAGGTTATTGGTCCAGTCCATTTATCACAGATGTGGGCAACCTTAGATAAGCTCGGAGCTGTATCCATAAAATTAGTAAGGTTCCAATTATAAGGCACCTAACGTGATTACAAGGGTTGTCACATATTTGGGTAGGGGGGGTAACATCGAGAGATAGCGCATGCCCGTGATTGAAATGTGAGGGCAAAATGGTTTGAATTTTTGTGCACGTGGTTGGACATTTTCTTTTGGATTGAACAAAAATTAAATTAAAAGAAAATGGTTAAGATTCAACATTCATCGGTGGAAATGAAAGTCGTATGCTCGTGAACTTGAGCGGGAAAAGTTGCATCGTCAATAATAGATTAAAGGACGCCGATAATGTTCTCGATTGTGAGAAGTTTGTGCATTTTAATTTGGCATCGAGAGCTGAAAATATAGAAATGAAAAGCTTGAAAATGCATATCAACTCAGGTCTATTAACAATGAAACATGATAATATTTAATAATTGTTTTCCAAAAAATATTTCCTCTTCAAGAGAACTATGAAAGATACGAATTCCTTTTTATAAAGTCGATGAAAAACAACCAATAATCAATCAAAAGCAAAACAACAAGAAAAGCTATAATTGAACTGAAATTGAAATATTTCCATTAGAGACATAGAAAATTTTCCTATTTTACTTTTTCTACCACCAAGTTTCTGCCGAATATCCCCACTACTCTTGCCTACGCGCAGGGCACCATTGGCACGAACGGGGTGCAGCCATAAACGTTATGGCTTGGGACAATTTTGCCTAATGGAGGTCGGGAGTTGCAGTAGCTCGGAGAGCTGAGGTTGCCCACCTCTGATTTAGACCTTGACCCACCATTTGTTCGACTGTCGATGAAACAATGCCAATCGTCGCATAAAAATGCCCTGAAAAACATATAAAAGTGTGTCAACTTTATTTGAACAACAGACAGACAGTAAAATGAATTGAAAGCTAGTGTTTTTTACGCGCTGAATACCAAGTAAATGAACTGCATCAGAACAGCTCTTCACAGTGAAAATAGAGTATATTTCTCGCCTAAGGAGGCAAAACAAATAAGTCTTCCCCACGTGCTAAATTGGCTAAGCACATGGGGAAGGCTTGTCTGTTTTTTCTCCCGAGGGTTGAAAGCGATTTTTCAATACAGCGTAGGCAGGAAAGCTATCAATTTCTGCTCGTCGAGTTGAAAAAAATATCGGCATATATAGCGAGCAAGTCTCTCTATCGGTTTCTGTCATAAAACAATAGCATAATGTAAATAATTGTGATGAAAAAGAATCCTGAAGTTTTTTAACCTCAACGATTAGTTTATGATAAGATTTTTTAATTTTTTAATTATTTTATGGCAGAAATTGATAGAGAAATTTGCTCGCTATATACCAATGTTTTTTTATTTGCAGTGGGATGAGCTGTACTGATACAGTTCATTTTCTTACCGTTAAGAGCATGAAAAATAATAGTTCCTAATTAATTTAACTGTCTGTGGGTTGATATCAAATTGAAAGATTATGATATATTTTTCAGGAGTTGGGTTGCAATATATATAGTTTATGTCGTTTGATTTCATAGCCATATACGGACAGATTGAATATACTTATAAAGTAAACGTATTTATGGCTGATACGATGAAAGAAGTGAAGCTTATTATAGAAGAATTTTAATCAAACTTACTGGAAAAATGAAGAATGATAAAAAAACGCTTATTCGATTTCATGTTGGAAAATAATCATGGAAAATAAGGAAGAAAGTAATAGAAAGACAAAAAATGACACAGAAATTGATAAATACGATATTCACGACGAAGGTCACTTAGATGGAGTCATATTGAGGGGAGCATACCTGAGCTACTCCTTTGCCTCGCGAGTAAGTTAATTAATGGGGAAAGAGTACCTGGAATCCAAGGTGACCGAACCGTAATGACCGGTGGAATTATGTTGCTAGGGAAGGATTAAAATGGGATGAACTCTATGTGAGGTCGATAAGGGTATTATCGACGCCGTCATTGATTCGCAATAAGCTTCCACCTCGCCCGATAGAGCGTGCAAGGTGGCCATGACCCGAATTAACCGATAGGAAATAGAAAAATGTTTCCTATTCGGGCAAAAATTAGGAGATTCGTCGTGATTGGTCGCAAAAGCCCAGGAAGACGGTCACTTTCCAGGATTGAGGAAGAGGTAGGAAGGATCCTCACTCTGATGAGAACTAGCGAAGGTAAGCCACCCAAATGTATATCTTTAAGTTAAGCATTAAGTAATTAGTTTATTAAATGACAGGATTGTTAAATCATGTCTAAACCAACGAGTTGAAAGGAAAGAAACGTGAAGTCCAGAAATATTGAATTGTTGAAAAGAAGCTTCCACCGTAACTATATTGTTGATTACACAGTGGCAGAAGCTCCCTATTTCGAGGCAACATTGTTGGAAAATCCTACACAAGCGAGCATCTCAAAATCAAGAATCTCAAAAAATCAATAAATAAGTAAAGTAAAATTCGAGAATGCGATCAAGAGAAAGAACGAGTACTACGTGTCAGAGAACGTTTGAAGCAAAGAACAACAGAGGACGAAAGAAAAATTGAATGAAAAACTAACTGGTTACTAACTTTTAATGTCGATTGACTTGTAAATTGAACAAGTTCATATGAGAAAGGCCGATATGATTAAATCTTGAGGGATCGTTCCTATAAGCGCGCGCGTTCACCGTGCGCTTTGATATCGCCTTACTTCTATAAATTTTCATTTATGAATGAGTAATGTCTCCGATGAAAGGGATGTAGAATGCACTGTAATTGTTAAATAATATTTGAATATTCGCTAATAAGCTAACATAGCTACGCCTTTTTGTAACTTTTTCAGTTCCATAATTTTTTTACTTAAGGTATATCCTACAGTAAGTAGAAATTTTTAGTGTCGGGACTGAGTAGCTGTGAATGAATTTAACCTCATTGAATCATCTCACTTATGTTTGTGGATACTCATGTAGGTGTACTTCGCTTTTCCTTGAAAAAGCAGTTTATTTATAATTAAGAAACCTATTATCATGAGCTATTCGCAATAAATTCAACGTTTCATTAAGCACCTTTTTCAAAAAGTATCAAGCCTCACCAGCACTTAGCGTGACCCAGGGTTTGCGATGGGGACGCGACTGGTATGAACCCCACCAAACGTCGACTTGGACCGGTTTATCCTTTTAATGTATATACCTAATTGAGTTCGATTTTTATATAATAGACAGTAATCATTTGATTAACTTTCGCTATTTTTCGCTGTAAGAAGGCATTACTGTAAATCCTGTAGTGATGTTAGTCCGCAAAAACGCAAACCATATTACGGTGCAGGGATTCTAATACTCTGTGTCGAGTTTAGGTGCGAATATTATATGGTCTGCAAATATGGTCTGCAATGTCTTCAGGAAGTGAATGTGATTAATGTAATAAAACCGGACCCCTTGGTTTCGAATATTGTTGGAATAGCAAAAGGCGGGGGCAGGAGTGTCACCTACTAATCTGCCTGCCAAACCACTGGTCAGACAAAAGTTTCAAGACAGGTGACGAAGATGAATTAAATTCCAATCGTAAGATATCGAACGCAATCAGTGCAACGCAAAAATAAGGAAAAGTATGCGAAGATAGCCGGTCGCTTACTAAAAGGTGAGACATTAACGAACCCGTGCAGGCGTTGATAGGATCCATCTATAGCCCCAGGAGATATGTTGATTAATCAATGTAGAAAGACAATTGACGAAACTTCTCAATTATG